AAATTCATTAAAACATTTCATCAAAATTATTTCGACATCCACAGATAGTACATTCATTTCCTTCTTGCAAGAATTATGTAGTATATATGTCATATACAGCCAATTGGTATTAATTCATTTGTGCTGCCTCAATTCGGTAACTTTAGTTTTTGCCAAAATTTACAGAGGCATTATCAGCGCAGAAAGCTGGCATGCAAATCATTGATAACCCTGAATCAGCTATATTTACCCTTATGTGGCTAGCTACATCTTTGGATTTTTCACTATTTGAGCAAATTTTTTTAACAGTTTTATTGAAATGTTCTTATTCTTGTTGAAATTGCAAAGGATCATTTCCCTTCTTCTCTTATCTTCTCTTCATATGGATGCCCATCTTTCAAATCGTCTAGAATTGACCTCTAGGATTCAGGTACCAAAACACTTGTGATAGCCTTGCTCATTTTTATTGCCACAAGTAAGGTTTGCACTTATATTGGAGTCGTTAAATATCATGAGAAAAAGATTCGACCCACATTGTAATGATATATATAGAGCTCTGTGAATGTTGAACTACATAATAGATGTATACGATTTCCGCAAATATAGTTTCATTTTACGAATATTTTTTTATTGCAATCGATGTTGATATACTCCCCTGTACTGACTAATATTAATGAAATAATGTTGATTTATTATTGGATAAAAATAAAACAGGATAGAAAGAAATTTACAAACTAGACATGTTTTTCGAATAAATATTTAAAATTTAATTTAAAAATATAAAAATAATCAATTAATGTCTCAAAATTATTATTTACATATTAAAAACGTTAAAATACTTTTTTTTAAAAATTGCTGGAGAAATTAAAAAATTGCGGTAGATTTTTGCGGGAGATTTCCAATTGCGGTAGTTTTGCGGGAGAGAGATATCTGCGTGTAAACTAAAAAATGCGGGAGTCCCGCTGATGGGGAGAGACATGGCAACCCTGTTCATACTTAAAGGTTGCTATTGTCTATTTCTCTTATTAAAACTAGTTTTGTTTATTGACTAGAAAAACTGATTGATGGAATAGTAAGTAATAATCTGGCATTTCTATGGTATGAGCTCACCTAAAAATATTTGTTTTTTTCGCATGTTGCCAATCGTTGCAATTTTATCTTATTTTGTCGTTAAAAACTATCTACCAAACGAATTGAAGAATCAATGTAATGAATTTCAATTATTAATTTAAGTTCCAGATTAAATGCTTCCAGAAATTTGGTTGATTTTACGCTTTAATGGGAGATATAGATTTTATTTCTCTTATAGTACGGTTACCTTTTTGTGTGTGAAAAAAATGACTGAAGAATTAATAAATATTAGAGCAAACCAGCTATTTTCCATTCCATCAATAATGCCAAATTAAGCAATTTTTCTTATTTTGCTAATAAACTTTTTCTTTATACTGTCTATTAAACGAATTAAATTATAATTAATACGGAACATCGATAAAATTTTCTGAATAAATTATTTCCGTCGCTTAATCATAGATTTGCCAAAATTTTGTTACTAATAGTTTTTTCCTTTTACGAGCTACTATACTCGTTTAAATGCTCAATTGGTACAAATAAAGCAAGAAATATTGATATAATTTACAATTAGTTCGTAGAACTATTCAGCCGCCAAATTTAAGGGTGCTGATATTAAAATATATAAATCCTGTCTATTCCTCTGTTCTGATACACAAGTTGAAGCATATAAAGAAGTTACTCAGAATTATCAAACTATTATGGTAATTATAGATATAAATAGCTTAAACCTTTGATTTTGAATGATACGATCAAGTTAGAATATTTTGAAAGAATTAAATAAAAATGTAAATATAAGCCTAAAAAATATCTAAAAATTTATTTTTAATTCTACATTCAAATGCTGGCTCAGAGATGAGTTTAATGAATATGATTAGGCAAAAAAATCCTTCTTCGGTTTCATTTGATTTATTAGAGGCCGAATTAATGGTAAAGCAGAATTTTGACATAAATTGCGAAGAGTTAAAATTTATTTTCATATATAATAAACTTTTAAATAAAATAAATTCCTTCCGATAAATATGTAGATTTGGATCTAATTTTTATATATTTTGACTTTATAAATATGGATAATATTCAAATTCAAATTTAAATTTGTAAATTATAATTTGAAAAAAATTATTCACCAATATTTATATATAAAAGGATTGCAGTTGTCGCGCTTTCCCGCTTTTTATCCTTTAGTCATTAAAAATCCCACCTCATTCTTAGAATATGGGAGGTATGGCCGGGCCTAAAAATTTTTGCAATTTACAAAATGAGAAAATCGAATAAGCCACCTATTTAATCTAGAATTAAAATATAGCCACATTTTATAATTATTTTTTATTATCCTTCATTTATAAACTCTTCTCAAAATTCGTAAAAAGTTTTTAACAACCCCCCCCCCCCACCCTTGTCGTGGTAAAATATGTAAAAGTAAATAAATAAACACTTAACCCATTTTGCCCTGATTTCCCGATATTGAAATATCTTTATTTTCTTGATTTGGAACATTTTCTATTTATTTTCAAAAAATCCTGATTTATTTAATTCCATTTTATTAGAAAAAATGAGAAGTGCTTACAAATTGAGTAGAAGCGTTTAGCGATGTTTTCATAAAACCGCTATGATTTAAATTGAACTGGTATTATTTTAAAAAATGATGAAAACTATTTTACGTTTTTTAATTTTTTTTTATATTGTTTAGTTAGACTTGTGAAATCACCAAAAATAAAAAACTAAAATAATTGAAGATCTAATAATTTATTCCATAATTTATTCTTCATAAATATTACAAATTTATGTAATCTAATAGAATATATTGAATTTTTTTTTGATTAATCATAACTTTGCAGTTATTTCTATTTATTAAAATGCGAATAGAAGAAAAAGGAAAGGTCATAATATTCAAATGAATTAGTTACTATTATATCAAAGTTATATCGATGTGCATTATCTCAAAATTGTAATTAGGAGGCATTAATTATCAGTAAAATCTTCTATAATTAAAATAATCTGAGAAAATCAATAAATAATTCTTAGCTTTCAGTATATTTTTTTTATCTAGATTAGAAATAAAGTATTACTTTAAATGACATAAAGCACACTTTTAAATTTTATGTTGGGGGGAGGGTTAACTTATTCTGGTAAAAACTTAACCCAAAATGTCCGCTCCATACTTACAACCATGAGCAGGAAGATTAATATATTTTCTATCACATCAGATAGAGGTTACATGTAGTGTTGCGTAATCGGCTAATTTTAGCCGACTACAAAACGGCTTAGCCGAGATTTTAGGTGAAAAAAGCGGCTAGGCCTAATTAGGTAAAGCCTAAAAATCGGCTAAGCCTAAAAATTGGCTAAAATAAATTAGTCAAAAATTCTGCATCGATGCCTAGCATTAATTATTATTTATTTATTTTAGTAAAATAATTTATTTTATTTATATTTAATGTAAATATTTTATTATTATCAACAAATAAACATGATATGATTTAATATTTTTTATTTATATTGTTTTATTTTGAAATGAAAATAAATTTATTTATTTGATGTTTTTTTAATAAAAAAAATAATATGCTGCTATATTGTAAAAATGTAATATTCTTTTTAATATAATTTATTAGTGATTTTCACAATCTTCTTTGTAAAAACATCTTTTATTGAGGAATAATATTATTATCACAACCACTGTGAACTGATTTAATAAGTTCTCTTATAGTAGTGTTTATAATAACTTCCCCGTGTGTATGGTGATATTATTTATCATTGCGCATAGTAAATTTGGAGATTTTTTGTATAATATGAAGTTTTTAATTTCTTCATAATCTAAAAAAGTTATCTAAAATTCAAATATTTAATTTACTATCCTCATTATCAATTGTCATTTCTGAAATAAATGTTGATTCTAATTTGAATATTTTAATTTTATAGAAAATTTATGTTTTTTGATTGACAAGTTATAAAAAATATGAAATTAAATTATAAAACATTTTTTAATATATCATTATTAAAAATACACTGGTAAAAACTTACTCAGGTATGTAATTACATTATAATAGAATAATAAGTAATAAATTTACTTATTAAAATAGTCCAAAAAGAGTGATTTTAAACATGAGTGTTTCTAGCACTTTACAAAAGTTTTAACCTCATATTTTCATATTAAAAAAATTATTTTAATGGATGCCAAATTAAATTGGTGTAATGAATAAGAGCAATGAATATGAAGTAAGAGCCAAGGGCAAATCTGAGGTCTGGAAAAAGTTTTCATTTATAGAGTCAAAACCCGATAATTACGAAGCTTTGGGACTGAAAAAATTAATATTTTTCGCAATTAAAAGATTAAATTTTAATTATATAGTATATAGTCCAATTTTGCGTTGTTAATAGTAATATATTATATTCAAAGTATATTAAATTTGTTGTATAATATTAAGATAATAATTAAGGAATAATAATTATTAAAATAATAATTTAGGAATAATAATTATTAAGGTATATTTTTAAATGACTAAATATTTTTTTAATTTATTTCTAATCTGTGAAATAACATATGATAGTTAAAATTATTATTTTCATTTAAGAGGTATTCAACAGGTTTACATTTAAAATAATTTTTCAAAAAAAGTGCGGTTCATCCGGTTCAATAATTTTGGAAGAATATGATTTAACAAGTGTTATTAATTTATCTGGAATTATTGATAAGTGGTTGCAGTATATTTTGAACTAGTATTTAATTTTTTATTTAATCATATGTTTTTTTTATAGAATCAATGAACTAAAATTTAAAGATGAAATGGGAACTACTATATTTTCTTAATTCATTCTATATTATTGATGTCTATGGATTCAAATATTCTTAACTCATTCTATATTATTGATGTGGTTATTCTGGATTCAAAAATAGATAAGATTACTAAATTTATATTTTCTTTTATAATACTCATTACTAAGTCTCACTATTACAATATCCGAAAGGGTAAGTTTCATTCATATTTGTTAAATTACAACTGGATACAAGGTTTGTTGGTATCCTTGAGAAATAAATCGGCAGTTCGCTCATTTTGGGCAGGTCTATGACCAACGTGCTAGATAAGATAAGATATAAGATAAATACACATATTCAGGATAAATACAAAGGTAAATTAATCCACATGCAACAATATTACCCAAGCAACTTGAAAATCATGATTCTCAAAAAATATAATTAATATTTTAAATGATACCCTTCAACCATCTAACCAATTCTAATATTCAGCAAACAAGGATATCAAAAAAGAAATATTCTTTTAGTCATGGAGAATTTACAAAAAATTAATTTATCAGCAGATTTATTATTCTTATATTTATGATTAATAATTTGACATAATCACCTAGAACTTTTCAAGTAAAACTTTTATTTTGTATGATTAATAATACATATTCATTCAAGTAATTACAATTTTGCACAGCTATGTATATTTATTATGCTAAAATTTGTAATATCATAGCTAATTTTATTTTATATAATTATAACATTTATACAGAATAATTTGTAAAAATGTGAATTTTTAATGTGGCAAGATAAACTTTTAAGCATTTCAAAATATAAATTTCATATCAACAGGTTAGTATATTTATACATAAAATATATGATATTATTAAATTATTTTAGGCACAAATAAGCTAAAAAGGCATAAATGTGTATTTACAATAAAGAGTAAAAAGACTCAATTAACAATTGATAGCCTTTTTGGTACTGATCCCAAAAAACTCAAAAGTTATGCCAAATTATGCTCATGTTTTGTGGACGTGATTTGAGATCATTTGATGCAATTCATGGGGATGGCTTTGTTGATTGTTGCCAATATTTTGGAAAAATTGACTCAATATATGGAAATATTAATATTAAAAGCATCATTCCAAATCCCACGACAATATCTTGAAATTTAATATACTACTGATGGTATACAAAATTTCCGAAATCAAACGCATATATGAAAAAGGGTCGATGTGCTAATAACAAATATGAAAATATGGAATTATTTATAATTTTTAGATTCGATTGTATTTTAACTTTTTTTATAATATTTCTTACAAATTAAATAAAATGCAACTTAATATATATCTTGATTAGATTATAGCCATCAAATAAACTTTAATTTAAGGTGGCGATGAATAAATTCACATAAATTTTATTTGGTTACTATAATATTCAAATTGTCGAATTTTGCCTAGGTGTTGAATTAAAAAGTGTGTGCTCGGGCTGTAAAAAAACGCAGACATCTAGTTACAGTGACCTCATGGTGGTTCAAGCGATAACGGATTGTTCAAGAATATTTCAAAGTTTAACCGTATCAGGTCAATTCAGCGAAACTTTTATCGCGAATGTCGTTTATCGCGAAGGAATTTTATAGCGAAGGTAATATAGCGAAACCAATTCCGCGAATTTTTTTCCGCGAACATTTATAGCGAAGAATATCGCGAACTTATTATCGCGAATTTATTTCCGCGAATACTTTATAGCGAATACATTTTAGCAAAACTTTGATCGCGAACTCGTTATAGCGAATTTATTTCCGCGAAACCTTAACCGCGAATACTTTATAGCGAATACATTTTAGCAAAACTTTTATCGCGAACTCTTTATAGCGAATTTATTTTCGCGAAACTTTAACCGCGAATACTTTATAGCGAATACATTTTGGCGAAACTTTGATCGCGAACTCATTATCACGAATTTATTTCCGCGAAACCTAAACCGCGAATACATTTTAGCGAAACTTTGATCGCGAACTCGTTATAGCGAAACTTTAATCCTGAACCATTTATAGCGAGTTTTCTACCGCGAATGTATTTGCCCGAAATTATTATAGCGACCGTATGACCGCGAAAATTGTGAATTCATTTTAAGTGAAATTAATATATTCAATATGAATTTACCAACCGAAGTTTCTTATATCATAAACGCGAATGTTTTAAGAATATTTTATTATGTATTGTTTATTTAATAAGCATGTAACTAGTGTTGCGTAATCGGCTAAAAACTAAGCCTAAAAATCGCCTAAGCCTAATTAGGTAAGCCTAAAAATCGGCTAAGGCCGCATTCATAGTGGAATCCGATCCGACACGATTTAACAGCTGATCAATTTTTAAATCGGTTTATGAGAATCAATTTTTCTTTATTAAAACCAATATTTCTTAGGTTATTATCATGTATAAAATTAAAGATAAAATTAATATTATTAAAAATAAATTAATCTCATAAACAGATTTTAAAAATCAATCAGCTGTTAAATCGTGTCGGATCGGATCCTACTATGAATGCTGCCTCCCCAACTGTACCTCTAACTCTGGCAGAAAAGTATGATAAAATGCGTAAAGTATGGGCGGGACTCCAACAAGATCTCCTCGAGCCAAAATGCAAAGCCAGTGTCCGGGACCGTCATGAGATTAAGCACGAGCCAAAATGCAAAGCCAGTGTCCGGGACCGTCATGAGATTAAGCACATAGCCAATGTGCTGGAAATCATTAACGAAGCCTCCGACACCAGACTCATGGAGGAGATGACTAAGCGAATACGTGTCCTAGCGCTAGCCATTCACTGGAACTGGCAGACAGCTATAAACAACGACGCGTCCTATCAAGAAAAGTTCCTTGGGGGCGAAGAAATAAAAGTCTACCGCGAAAGCCGGCCCTTTCGACAGGGGCTAAGGCCCATCTACCTCGGGCACCTACAGGAGACCAGAGAGGAAGGAACCGGCCTCCGCCAGGGGCAAGAAAAGGAAGTAGTCTCGCCCCAAATATCAATAATCCTTCGTTTCTTCTTCCTCCTCTACCTACTAATTCTAATTCTCCTTCTACTTCCTCAAATGCAACCCTTCCGGGGGGGGGGGTTGCAGCGGGCGACGGACCACCGGCTCCACGGGGTGAAACAGCTCAACATCCACCATGGCTGGCAAAAGTTAATATATTCCTTAGGATGTTGAGGCATCAGCCGTTTTCCCCGGATAATGATAACGATTCGGACTCGGGTACTGACGTGGTATCGGAAATCTATAATCAACCACCCCCGTTGATGCGTCCGACCGCCAACGCTGCCGACGACTCGGACACGCCGTCCTTCTTGTCAGAGGATTCAGAGATCCCGGAATGGTGGACGCCTAGCCCACTATCTGCCTCTCTGCCCTGAAGCAGCTCCGGGAGCGATGACTCAGCTGCTTCCATCATCTCGGAACTGGATTCTACAATCTTTAGTACGGATGATCCTGGTATGCCCCAGGTAGGATCCACAGCTACTCACGACTTAACTGGTATCCTCGCGGATATCAACCGTCCCGGCAGCCGCGGCATCTTCACGGATGAACAGCTAGAGGCTCTTCCTACGCTGAATATCAGCACCGCTCGACTCTCCTTAGGACCTCTCATGTCCAACTTTACAAGAAGAGTCGAGAAGAGGCTTCCAACCTAGACTGGACCATTTAAAAATAAATAACAATAATAATAATTAATTTTATCACTCTGGTCCAGTCAGGGTACACGGCAAATACCGAGACATTATTAGGCAGCTAATTATCGCCGGTATTATCGAGCTGTCCACATCTCCTAACCAAATATGCTCGCCTCTCTACGTGATCCCCAAAGCCGACGGAAGCCCGAGGGTAATTAGTGATTTCTCCGAAGTCTCGAAAAACTTCCTCCATTACCCCTTTAAACTCAAATCAATCCCTTTAATGTCAACCAAGCTCGATCAAGCCAAATTCGCATGCAAAATGGACATTAGGTCGGCATTCTTTTCGATACCCCTAGCAGAAAAGGTTAGGCCCTTCTTCGGCATTAGATTTGATAATAATAACTATGCCTACAAAGTCCTACCCATGGGTGCATCCTTCAATCTATATTGCCTGCAATCAATTATTTTAGATGCATGTGCAAAAACCGAAAGCGAACTACAACGTGTACCTCGATGATATCCTCATCTACGGCGACAACGAGTTTGATGTCAAGTGGTCTACTAGATCGCTCAGATGCGCCCTAGAAGGATGGGGTCTACAAATAGCGCCAGAAAAATCTGTCCTCGACCCCACCGATAAGATAACATATCTCGGTATTCCTATCAACCTTACAAATAAAACCATACAAGCTGACACGAACACCAGAAGACGACTCGATAAATGTCTCCAAATATTCCGTCGCCATTCATACCAGCACCTCGAACTGGGAAGAGCCTTGGCAGCCAAAGTACTAGGGGTCGTCAACCACTACGCATACACGATCACCGGCATGTCAAGGTTATTTTCCCCTTATTACATAACAATGAATAATGCTGCCCTAACCCCGTGACCGACTCTTATTTAGCATTCCGCAAAGCAAGTATCATAATAGAAGCGATGAAGGAACCTCTCGCACTAAAATACTATGCTAATACACCGGTCTACACCGATGCATCAAATTTTCACATTGGAATTTGCTATTGGGACACGGAGTTCACCTCGGTTTCATACAACGAGGCATGTCTATTATTCAATATCCCTAGCCATGCCATCGCCCACATTAACGCGAAAGAGGTACTTGCAGCGGGCATGGGGGCCATCTTAGCCCTCAGTAATAATCAAAGACCCATGATATTCACGGATTCAACCGTTACATACTACACGTTCCGAAAAGGCGGCTCACGATCACCGTCTATCGAAATCTTTATTACGCAGATACTACAAAAACTTGGCTTGGCAAACTTCACCCTCGTCTCGCAGAATATCCAATGGCTCCCCTCAGAGGAAAACCCGGCGGATGAATCATCTCACACCTGGATGGCCCATCGGGAGCATCTGGACCTTTTCGGTGACCAAATCCTATCTGGACAAGTCACCTTACAACATGAGGAGGTCTCCCTCTTCGGCGAAGAATCTACCATCAGCACCCCCTCTATGATATCGAGCTTACCTAGTATGGACACAACTATTTCATACCAATGGGACAACGTATCTATCAACTCAACAGATCTTACTATCTATTAATCAAAATCTCAAACAATAATCAAACAGCAGAACGCTTTCACCCCTTTAATATTTATTTCTATAAATACCTTATAATAGCTGTTTACATTCATTATTGTTTTTCTTCTATATTTTGTTATATTCAAAATTTTATTAATAAAGCCTTAGGGATGCCAAAGCCATAAAGGCCAAGGCATCCAGTTGCATCCCACTTTTCCTATAGGGAAAAGATAAAAGGATGTAACGGCGAAGCCGCCTAAAAATCGGCTAAACCTAATTAGGTTAAGCCTAAAAATCGGCTAAGCCTAAAAATCGTCTAACTAAGCCTATATAAATCGCCTAAAATTAAATTAATCAAAATTCTGCATCGATGAGCATTAATTATTATTTATTTATTTTATTTATATTTAATGTAAATATTTTATTATTATCAACAAATAAACATGATATAATTTAATATTTTTTATATATATATTATTATATTTTGAATGAAAATAAATTTATTTATTTGATGTTTTTTTAATAAAAAAAATAATATGCTGCTATATTGTAAAAATGTAATATTCTTTTTAATATAATTTATTAGTGATTTTCACAATCTTCTTTGTAAATACATCTTTTATTGAGGAATTATATTGTAAACTTTATTAGATAAATAAACAATCTTTTATAATTTTTATCATCTTTTTAAAATTATCTATTTTTTATTAAATGAGGTGGATTTTATGAAACTTTTTTGATAATTCTATATGATCTTTTTAAGGATAATATTTTAATGTGACAATTGTCATAATCGTTATTTTATAAGTTTTTTGAATTTTTTTGAAGAAAATATGTTAAAATAAGTATTAATAACATGTGTAAATATAAATTTAGTGAAGATGTACCAATGAAAAGTGACAATTGTCATAATCGTTATTTTTAAAGTTTTGAATTTTTTTGACGACAATATGTTAAAATAAGTATTAATAACATGTGTAAATATAAATTTAGTGAAGATGTACTATAGAAAAGTGGCAATTGTCATAATCGTTATTTTTAAAGTTTTTTTAATTTTTTTGACTAAAATATGTTAAAATAAGTATTAATAAGATGTTTAAATAAAAATTTAGTGAAGATGTACCAATGAAAAGTGACAATTGTCATAATCGTTATTTCTAAAGTTTTTTGAATCTTTTTGACGACAATATGTTAAAATAAGTATTAACCCTTCACTACAAAGGTGGGGTAAATAGGACACCACAACTTTTATAATCTTTGTAATACAAAAGCTAGAAGATATTCCGACCTGATTTTTTCAGTAGTTTAATATTTTGTAACAAGGAATGCAACTTCCAAATTTCATGATTATTGATTTGATAGTTTTTGAGATATATGCTATTTGTTGAGCTTGGGGTAAAATATACCCCACCTATGTAATGATGTAATTTTTTTTTAAAATCCAATTTTTTTTTTGTTACTAATTATATTTATGTATGTCAGGTTAATAAATATAATTGAAAAAAATAATTATATCTATTTTTTGATTGATATATATGACTTTAAATTTGAAAATTTTATATTATTTATTTTTTCGGTGTATTTGAATTATTCTAGTGACATTTTATACTTTGAAAATAGAATTATATGCTGGAATCAGCCTGAAGGACCTTATAAATTGAGAAATAAGCCTTTTGATGTGGTTGAAAGGTTAATTCAGCCCATTTCTAAGAGTAATAGGAATGTCACCACAGATAACTGGTTTACCAGTTATGAACTTGCTATACATTTATTAAATTCCCATTCATTAACAATAGTAGGAACTTTAAGAAAAAATAAATAGCAGTTTTCAACATCATTTAATTTTAAAAAGAAAGATTTTTGTTCAAGTTTATTTGCCTGCTAAGATAATATGACATTAGTATCATATGTACCAAAAAAGTATAAGCATGATGCTTTCTACCCTTCACTATGATAACAATATTGATACATCAACTGGGGATTTGAAAAAACCAGAAATTATCACATTTTACAATCTTACCAAAGCTGGTGTTGATGTTGGGGATCAGCTATGTTCAAATTATTCAATATCCAGAATAACAAATAGATGGCCTATGACAATTTTTTATAATTTGTTGAATATATCTTGCATAAATTCTTTAATAATTTATAAATCCAATAATTTAAAGGAGATTAATAGATCAAAGTTTATAAAATTATTAGCAATGGAGCTAATAACTCTATTAATGAGTAATAGATATGAAAACCCACATGTTAATAAACTACTAAGGGATAATATTGGGAACATGCTAAATATAGAGGAATTAAAACCTATTTCAACCAAACAAAAAGGAAGGTGCTCCTCTTGTCCAAGGGTTAGGGACAAGAAATCCTCATTTATTTGTTCAAATTGTTCAAAATTTATATGCAAAGATCATATGTATGTAACATGTCGTGAATGTTTTTTTAAAAAAAATGCATGAACTTTAATATCAAATATTTTTTTTAATATCTGATGTTTTATTATAATATTTATTTAATTATTACTATAAAATATTGAATTAATAAAATATATAATCAAATTTGCTTCCATTCATTTATTTTTGGTCATATCATATGATTAAGGAAAGTTCCAAAAAAAAGATTTTTTTTGAGCAGCTTTAGTAAATATATCATAACTTTATTTAGAAATAAATGTAAATCTAGAAATTTTGTATTTATTATTTCTAATATTTTTACAATAAGTATATAAAAAATTTTATTATTTTCTGAGATATAGCTATTTAAAATTTGGGGTAAAATAGACCCCACCTATGTAACCGCGGGAGTTTTTTTCACCAACATGTTTAAATAAAAAATTAGTGAAGATGTACCATAGAAAATTGACAATTGTCATAATC